AGGCTGGATGCTGCTGCTCTCACAGAAGCTTGTGGTTCCTTGGTGCGGGTGCTACAGCATGCCCGTCACAGCTAGGAGAGCACAGGGCTCTGAGATGGTGGCAAGAGCAGAGTGTAGAGCAGGAAAAACCAGGCTGCTCAGGCTCTCTTCAGAGACGCACTAGTCTGCAGGGTGCCTGCTTCACAGAGCCCAGGGCTTCAAGAAGACATGTGAAGGGCAGGACTCTAGGTACAGCCCAGTGTTGGTGTGTCCTAACCACAAGGAGTACATTTTGTGACTGTACCTCTGCCTGCCCTGGGGGTGTTGTGGGGCTGTACTCAGCCTAGTGCTTCCTCTCACTGAGGCAAGTACTTTGAGCTCTAGGGAACAGAATTACAGTAATGCTAAGACCTCCATTACAGCAATGAGGAACCACCTCCTAACCCCTGGGGATTGACTGCTGTGGTGCAAAGGAAGCTGGGAGGTAGCTGAGGGCCCCTCGCTGGCAGAGCTAGGGTGGGCTAGCCTGGCTCCCCAGGGCTGTGGCAGTGCCTGGGACTGACAGGCTGCAGAGAGCAGGGGAAGAGCCTGATGGTGCTTGCCTTGTGCTGCAGAGAGGAGACGAGGTGCAGTGCGAGATCGACGAGCTGGGAACCCTTCGCAACAAGGTTGTCTGAAGATGCTGCACATCTGCCCTGCTCCTCAGGCAACGGAGCCTACTGGGACCTTGATCTCCCCAGCACTTCACCTGCCTGCTGGTGGCTGGGACATTGGTCCTCACAGTTCCTGCAATAAATCTCCCTGACTGCCCTTCCACTGAGCTCTTCTCTGCCTGAGCACTGGGGTCTTCTGAACGAAGGGGGCTAGGGCATTGCCAGGGGAAGCTCCGTCCAAGGGGGCTGGGCAGGGCACTGCAGAGCCATGCCCACTTCCCAGCTCCAGCTTGGGGCGTGAAGGCAGGCTCCTGTAGGTGGGCTATTGCCAGAGGCAGGCTACGAGCATATTACAGGGTAGGAAGACTGCTGGATTAGACCTGCAAAGGTGCTGTAGCTAATCCATGGGTGAATGGAGACCCCCATCCCACCCTCCCAGCCCATCAGTGCTCTTCCCAGGCCTGGGGGGAATATTAACCCTTCAATCTTGCATTTTTCAATGAAGCTTTGCAACCAGGCTTGAAACTGCATCTTTCCTTGTGAACACTTCCCAGACAACATCCTCCCCCTTGGATTTTTTGGGGGCTGAAATTAGTCACCAGGTTCAATGTGGTCTCACCAGTGTTTTCCTGTCTGCTCCAGCAGGGACTGGGAGACACACCAGCCACTTGCAATGAGACTATGGAGCTGCTGAGGCTGCTCCCATCAGAGGGCAATCTGTGAATCCAAGCCTCAGCAGCCCTGAAAATCTGGCCTCATGGGCTCTCAGCAACCCCAAGGCATAAACCCAGGCAGCAGATCTGTTTCTGTCTGAGCAGTTGGATTACAGCCAAACACCAAGGATTACCTCCCCACCTCCGCCTCCCTGCTCTGGCCAGAGTCTTCTTAGCTCCCCATGGAATGGCCTGGGACTTCTGCATGGCAACAGGCTCAGGGGAGACCCTGCAAAGCAACAACCCCAGCAGGCTGCAGCCGGGGCAGGAGTGGGGGCCGCAGCAGTATGCAGTACAGGGGACAGCAGCCCTGGCCACAGGAGCCAGGGGCAGTTGCAGACATTTGGGCGACTGGACCGAAGCATCTCTGCAGCTGTTTGGAAACCAGCATGAAGCTGCAACCCAGATGACACAGCCCCTTCCTCCAGCCCCCGGGGAGCGCACAGGCAAATGACCAAGGAGCAGGCCAGGGGGAGAGTGCAAATGCCTTCCCCCTTGGCCACATGCAGCTGTTTCCCACATTGGGGGAATGCAGCAGGCACCATCCTTTGCAAAAATCCATTTCTATAAATACATAGATACAACTGTACCACCGCAGACGTGTCTCGTGACCGATAGGGTTTACTTACAGTCTAAACCACACCTTAAGTTACACCATTCTCATTCCCATCACAACAACCGCACCGTGCATCTGTGTGCCTGTCACCATCATTTTTACTCTTCACAATCATGCAAAGAACTGCCTCAGTACCCCTCTCCCCTGCCCCCACCTCCTGCCAATTCCCTACCTGGCATCATCCTAATCGTCACTGTCATCATTTCCATTGTCATCCTCTCCGGTGGTGGCACAGTTCAGAAGCAGGACCCCAGTCCTTTCTCCTCCATATGATCTGCAATGTCTCCTCTCCATTGTCTTCAACCATCATCAGTCCTGTTTTGATGCAGTCCTCAACTGAGGGGTTTGTGTGTCTGTTTCAGAACAGGTTCCTGGTTTCCCATAGGGAATTCCTGAACTGGTCAAAGAGGGTGCCCTGCTCCTTGGTCAAGTGACTGAACAGCACTGCCTCTCTGTTCAGGGTCTTGACCCCTGTCACCAGCAGGAGGAGTACAACTATGTCAAGCTTTTTGGCTTTAAACTAATATCATACAGTTTGTGCCTGGTAGCAAAGGAAAAGCCAGGCTGAGATTAAACAGATCAATGATGAACTTCTGCAGCTGGAGCATTGCAGCCAGGGAGGACAGGCATTGCCCATGCATGGGGCTGGCCTGGCACCTGTCACCAGCCCTCGTGTTTCCCCCGGAGCAGACCACAGCAGTGGAAGCATCAGAGCCTTCCACCTGCCCATGTCAGCCGACCCAAGGGCTCCACACGTGGGGGTCCTGCCACCGCTCCTCCCCCACTCCCCATTGGCACCTGCTGGGTCCCAGCCCCCACAGGAACTGTAGGACATGCTCTGCAGTATCAAAGGTTGGTAACTGTGGGTACATCTACACTTCATGAATGTGCCTTAGGTACTGCGCATTTCGTTTAGTACTTGCTTAATAAAGTATGAACTATGCACGGTAACTACAGTTACTGCACAGTAGTGCTGGCAGTTATTTTGTGATGTTTACTTGGCATTAGCCTACTAACACCATGCAGTAGGCTATTAGCAGAGTTTGTAACTGCCACGCTACTGTGCAGTGTTATTAGGCTAATAGGCACAAAGCATCTTGTGTAGACACATCCTATGTATAGTAAATATATCTCTTTAAAAAGACATTTTCAAGTGTTGTAGGTCTAGCTTTATATCAAGATTAGTCTTCCAGTACTGCTTAAATTGTAGTTTTTTCCTTAAGTATAACACTTTAAGGCTGTTAGAGCACTTTGAGAACAAGAGCACGGGTTTACAGAGTTTCTTAGTTAATCCAGTGCATTGTAGGAGCAACCTTCTGCTTCTAGTGAAGCAAGTGCTGGCTTTTATAGGTTTAGTGCTTAGCTGTGTTGTGAACTACACATAGTCCAGTACACAAAGACAGCACAAAGACCACTGACCTACCTCACACCCATTAGATCTGGCCAGTTTTGAAAGATCCAACATTAGCCTCTTTGCTGCCATTTGAAGCCAATAGTGAGGTTTTGAAAATCTGTCATGTGAAATTCAGACAACAGCATTTTTTCTTTTTAAGGAAGAACAACATACACTTATGGATGAAAGTGGGAACAAAAAAGAATTGGGAGTGAGGCGACGTGTTATAATCAATGTCTAAATGTTCTGTCTTACTGTGTTTAATCCCTTCAAAGAATACGAAGGACCACTAATCAAAAGCTTATCTAAAACAAAAAAGCTTCCCTTTCTAAACTGACAAAAGCAATTCGGTCACATTTTCAAGCAGTGAAACAAAAGGAAATGAGCAATGTTTCAAAATATTTTTTAAAACAAGTATTTACATTCTTACTCACTACTGCAGGTGGTGATGACAGAAATTCCTCAGATCATTTGTGCCCTTTCTCCTAAGAGACTGATGGCAATCTTGGCTACTTTAGCTGGAGCATCAGTCATCGTTCATTATCAAGTTAACCTGAGTATCTAATGTCCATTACTAGCCCACAGACGCCTCAAGGAGTTACAGTAGTAATTTATTTCAGAGCAAGAGTTTCATTCATTGACTCATCCTGAGAAGTTTGTGATAAGATTCAAATTAAGTGATTAGTCAAATCACTGAAAACCATAATTGCCTTTCAGAACTTTAATGAGTCTTCAGAACATTGTAGCTTTCCTCAGTAGAAATAAAAATAACAGAATCAACTAAAAACATGGAGTTTATTTTACTAAATGCTTATGTGCAGTTGTAATTGTTGCTTCTTTCCAATCTAAAATGGAGTGCAAATCATAGCTATGTCAATGAGAGCTAAATGTGACCTTAGCTTAAAGTACAGTAGTCCTGAACTACTAGCACAGGAGGAAAGTGCATTAATACTGGACTAGAGCTATGAATACATAGATTCATAGATGTTAGGGTTGGAAGGGACCTCAGTAGATCATTGAGTCTGACCCCCCTACCCTGGGCAGGAGAGTGCTGAGGTCAGATGACTCCAGGTAGGTGCTTGTCCAGTCTCCTCTTGAAGACCCCCAGGGTAGGGGAGAGCACCACCTCCCTTGGAAGCCCATTCCAGATTCTGGCAATCCTTACTGTGAAGTTCTTTCTAACGTCCAACCTAAATCTGCTCTGTCAATTTGTGGCCATTGTTCCTAGTTACTCCAGGGGGTGCCCTAGTAAACAGAGCATCTCCTATTCCCTGCCACCCTCCCCTGATGAATTTATAGGCAGCCACAAGATCACCTCTCAGCTTTCTCTTGCAAAGGCTGAAGAGGTCTAGGTTTCTCCTCGTAGGGCCTTGCCTGCAGGCCTCTGACCATACAAGCGGCCCTCCTCTGAACCTTCTCAAGATTCTCCACATCCCTCTTGAAGTGCGGCGCCCAGAACTGGACGCAGTACTCCAACTGCAGCCTCACCAGTGCCGCATAGAGGGGGAGGGTCACCTCCCTGGACCTGTTTGTCATGCATCTGCTAATGTATGATAGAGTGCGGTTAGCCTTGTTGATCACTTTGTCACATTGACAACTCATGTTCATCTTGGAGTCAACTACGACTCCAAGATCCTTTTCCACTGCTCTGCTGCTGAGGTGGTCATCCCCCAGCCTGTAAATTTGTTGGTGGTTCTTTTTGCCCAGGTGCAGCACTTTCCACTTGTCTTTGTTGTACATTTACATTCGAAAAGAAAAGTAAAATAGTTCATGCTTAGTTGAAAAGAGAGTCTTTAAAATGTTTTGTATAAGGCAGAGGTTCCAAAGCTTTTTCTTATGCGTACCCCCATCCAGATTTAGCAGCTGTCCGCGTACCCCTAGCAGCCTACTTTTTATATTTTAACCCTGTAAATGCCATTACAATGAAAATTAAATCTGCTATTACACAATTTCTCCTGCATATCCTCAGAGATGTTTTGCATACCCCTAGGGGTACGCGTACCACAGTTTGGGAGCCCCTGGTATAAAGCATTTTAAGATTTCTCTGGTGACTTTTGTAACTCCAAAACCTGTTGTAATCTTGTGTTGATTACTTGCAAGTGCTTCTCAGCTCCTAAAATTCTTTAAGATCCCATCAGAAGAGCAGGTAGTTTGGAAACACCATACTGTCAAAGAGAGACAATGATAAGACATTCCTTCGAAAGCAAACATTTTCCACTAAGTTCTTGCCTATCTTGAACACTTTATTTGTCACATTATTTGAAACACTAGAATATGACGTAATGTCACTATCTGAACATGCAGAATAGATCGTTAAATTAATGTATGGCAATGGCCAAAGGAACGTCCCAAAGTGGAAGACTTCCCCGGGCAAGCAGATTTGAGAGGACTCCAGAACATAAGCGCTTCTGTTCTGTAACAGAGATTAGGTTAATTCCTAGAGATGAGGTTAATACTTTCTCACCTTCTAGAAGTAACTAACGTCTGAATAATTTTAAAGGTGTGGTGAAAGACAGAAATCACACTACACTCATCAGAGGATGAGAGCTTCTTGACACCACTGTTTTCCCTAAAGCCAAGTTTAAAAACCTGACCTACTCATTTCCCTACTGTTGAACTTTATTTTCAGTTTCCATGTTAAAATAAACCTAACATATTAGATATTTGATTTATCCACTGCAATGGATATGTTTCAGCTGTGCTTTGGAGTTGCAGCCACCAACAATGCTGCTGTCTGAGAAAAAAAAAAAAGAATAAGTAAAATATACCTACAGTTACTTTTTCCAGCAGGTGTTTCTCTGCAATCTGAATATTCTTTTTGCAATTCTTTTAAATAAGTCAGAAATGAGGTGGCAGTCCTGAGGGATGATTTCTTCTCTTGTAGCTCACCTTATTCCCTTTGCAACTGCTTCAAATGTGCTTTAGTCCTGCAAAATACCCGAGAATCCAGTTCTGAATATTTCTTTCATAAGGGACTTGGGAGTGTTTTGCTCTTGGGGAGATGGCTTGGCAGGCAGTATAACTTCCAGTTCAAGCGAGGTAAATGGTTTGACTAATTGGGCATGAATACTGGTGCAAGTCCACAAAATCTGCATCAAGTCTGCAGCTGCCTGACAAGCTGCAGCATCTCAAGGGTTTGCTCACTGCCTAGAGTTCTGGCTCTGGGCAGCTACAGACTGCTCAGCCCCCGTCTCATACCTTAGCCCAGCTGGGATCTATAACAAGATGGGGTCCTCCATCTACATATCCTGACAGGCTAATATGCTAGCAACGATAGCGCATTAGGCATACTTAGAACATGCTTACGTCAAGGACAAAACACTGCAGCAATGGCTACTTCATTCAAAGATGTGGTGGAAAGTGCTTCCTCTTTCTTCGGTTGCCTGCTGGTTAAGATCACTCTGCCAGGGAAAAGGAGAGCCATAGTTCCCAGTGCCCCAAGCACCAAACTGGGGGTACTGTCGCTCTTGTTGAGGTTGTACCACTATGCACAACCATTCATGGGGCCAGAAAGAGGGAACCCCCAGGAGGGTTTTCTCTCACCCCAATGGCTGCATTTAACGGTAGTTGGCTAAAATACTTCAGTTTCATAGTTGGTAGGGTTGGAAGGGACCTGAGGAGATCGTCTAGTCCGACCCCCTGCCATGGCAGGAAAGAGTACTGGGGTCGAACGACACCGGCCAGATGTTTCTTGTAACTCCCAGGATTGCTCGGGGGAACAGGGACTCCCCCAATGCCTGCTGGTCCCCTCTGACTAGTTTGTAGACTGACACTAGATCCCCCCTCAGCCTTCTCTTCTGGAGGCTGAACAGCCTCTCCTTGTAGGGCCTTGTAGGGCCTGCCCTGTTGCCCCTGACCATGTGGGTGGCCCTCCTCTGGACCCTCTCCATATTGGCCACATCCCTCCTGAAGTGTGGCGCCCAGACTGGACGCAGTACTCCAGCTGCGGCTTGACCAGTGCTGCATAGAAGGGGAGGATCACCTCCTTGGACCTGCTTGAGATGCATCTGTGGATGCATGACAAGGTACGGTTGGCCATACTGACCACTTCCCCACTTTGTCGGCCCATGTTCATTGTGGCATCCATGATGACTCCAAGATCCTTTTCTGTCTCAACACTGGTGAGAAGGGAGTTCCCCAGCCTGTAGGTGTGCCGCTGGTTCTTCCTCCCCAGGTGCAGCACCTTGCACTTGTCAGTGTTGAACCCCATCCTGTTCTTATCTGCCCACCCCTGTAACCTGTCTAGATCCACTTGCAGCCTGTTCCTTCCTACTAGCGTGCCCACTTCAACCCACATCTTAGTGTCATCTGCAAACTTGAACAGGGTGCTTTCTACCCCCTCACCCAAGTCACTGATGAAGACGTTGAATAGCGTGGGCCCAAGGACCGAGCCCTGGGGGACCCCACTGCCCACATCCCTCCAGGTCGAATAAGACCCATCCACCACCACCCTCTGGGTGCGGCCCTCCAGCCAGTTAGCGA